GCGGACATCGCGGACAAGTGTTTTCTCACAGATACGCAGCGTTTCGTCGTCCGCGGACAACCGCGGACAAGGTTTCCCCCTCCGCAGGCTACAAATCCTAGGCTTCCGCGGACAACGGCGGACATCGCACAGAGTGTCCGTTTCGGCCGCGGACAACGGCGGACAACGGCGGACAACCGCGGACAACGGCGAACAAGCCGTTTTTGTACATCTCAGAACAAAGTCTGCAGCCGCCGGCGCGCAGCCGACATCACCAGCAGTGCAGTTTCCAGCCAGTCATGCAGTTCTTCCAGACCTGCACGACGCACCAGCGGGATCAAAGACATCAGGGCATCCGCAGCTGTGAACATCTCTTCCACGTGCAAGGCGGGGTTCATTGCCAAGGTCTGCCAACCATCCCGCTGGCTGCGGACTTCTTCCCCGTCCTGTGGTACACCCGGCAGCTATTTGCTGCCGCAACTGCTGTGGAGACTCGTGGTCCCACAATTTCTCATCCGGCATTGACAAGATCTTGCCTGACTGACCTGCGCTCAGGTCAGTGACCGAACCCAACTGCTTCAAGAGAGCTCGCAGCTGCTTCTGCTGTGCGTCCTTGTAGCTCGGAAGGCTGCGCAAGCCTTCTAAAAATTTCTGGCCGGCAACCATTGCCTTCTCAAAAGCACCCGCCGTACGCGAAAAAAGCAGTGGAGGTGCCTCCGACTCAACGTAACGCGCCTGTAAGCCAAACCTGCCAAGCACGTGAAATCAAAAATGTTTGCAAAATGACTCTTTTTTAGACATATGTTAAACAACATCTTGAAAACATACAAAAAGCTAAGTAGGTTAAGTACCATCGTAAGTAGAAACGACGTTTTTCAACTTCAACAGCATCCTACTTATAAGTAGGGCGGTAAGTAGCTATCTCCATCATAAGTAACGAAAAAAAAAACTTGAACTTATGAACCACTTAACCTACTTGCCAGCCCACTTAACCTCCCTTAAGTAGACTTACACTCTTACTTATAAGTCCACAAGTGCCGCGGGAAACCGAAGCAGCCGACATTCCCGTGCCTACGAGCACAGTCGAAGACGATGACAATGAGACGATTGATACAAATGAAACAGATTCAGAACCTATTTTTGATGAAGAAGATGTGAAAGGTTTTGAGAAGGATCCAGACAAGGATCTGGACGATGAGAAAAATCTTTTTGTTAGTTTTGACGATACGGATTTTTGTGTCATAGGTCCGAACCAAGCTCCTCCGAGTTTTAACTCGTATGATCCGAAAGGTTTTTCACAGTTCTGCCAGTATCTTGCGAAGACAATGGCTAAGAAGACGCCAAAGGCAGAGAGTGTGATTACTCCGGAAGTGCTCCGGAAGTATGCGAAGGAGATCAAGCAAGCTAAACTAGAGGAGTTTCGCAGCTTTTTAGACTTTACTGCGATGAAGTATCGAGACCGAAGAAAGCATAAGATCGATAACTATGTTACCGGTCGATGGGTCCTGACTATCAAGATAGACAAAGATGGTAACTTTAAGAAGTTTAAGGCCAGATGGGTCTGTCGAGGCTTCCAAGATGCCCAGAAATGGGACCTCCAGACGGACTCGCCAACCGCGACCAGGTATGGTTTTCGCGTAGCATGTCAGCATGCAGCTTCTTCTTTTTGGGACCTGTTGCACATCGACTTGAAAACTGCCTTTCTTCAGGGGGAACTTTACGACCTCGAGCGACGCGTTATTCACGTTCAACTTCCGACCGACATCGGATTGCCTCCGTATCTTGTCGGATTGTGCACCCGTTCAGTGTACGGATTGAGTGATGCGCCTCGTCGCTGGTGGAATCGACTCGACAAGTTTTTGCACTCACTCGGATTAGTTCCGACTCGAGCCGATCGGTGCACGTACGTTTGCTACTCCGGATGTTTGAGGGTTCCTAAGGCTGTGAACTACTCATCAGAGGAGATGCCAGCCGAACCGGAACCGGTATCCTTCTACGTAGCAGGTGCGCCGCCAAACGAATTCCACGACACAGCGGAGGAAGTTCGTAGGTCTTTTCTCTGTGAAGAACGTCTGTTTTCGGTGTGTTACGGAAATAGGTCTGAGAAGACGGTGACGCGTAGCCTGCTTAAGGCAGAGGATGGAAAATGGACTCCTGTGGTAGATCAGGAACTCCAGAATTTCCTTGACTCTGTAGAGCACAAGGCAGGTTGGCACCAATATGCAAATGGCCATGCTCAAGTCGCTTATCGCGCAAAAGCTCTTCGCACTCCCGAACCTACGTATTCGCGTTCGCGCTTTTGTTTTCGGACTTCAATAGTTAAGCGTAAGGGTGTTTGGTGGCTTCTCGAGACAAACAAGGATATCAGAAACGAGAAGAATGCAGTGACGTTAGAGGAAGAAGCTGAAACGCTTGTCAGTCTTTTTCTTCCTGCAGAACATACGTATACTGTGACACAAACGCCTCAGCTTACACCTGAAGTTGTGGAAGAGTTGCTTGAGCATTTTATGGACCCTGTGCATGGCAGTAATTCTAAGAATAGGTCACCCATTGGTATGTGTTGTTTACATGTTGATGATCTTTTTGTGACAGGTAATGATATCTTTTTGAAACAGTTCAAGGATATTGTGAAGTCACAGTTTAAGATTGGACATGAGGACACTAATGACCTGATGTTTACTGGACAACGTGTTGCTTGGAAGATGCAAGAGAAGACCAAGAAGAAGGAGTACATCTCAGTAGAGCAATCCCTTTGTGTTCAAGAATTGACTGAGATTATCATTCCAAAAGGTTTGAAGGATGAGGACAAGTGTGACAAAGACATGCACACAGCCTTCAGATCCCTTCTTGGCAGCATAAACTGGTTACAATCCAGAACACAATTCCAAGCATGCTACCAATTCTCGAGGTCAGCATCAGCATCAGCAGGACCTACAATAGGTGATTGCAAGGCCCTGAACAAGCTGTGCAAACAAATCGTGACTGACCCTATGGAGTTACGGTTTTGGCCACTTGAAGGTAGTCCACGTTTAATTGCCATGCCAGATGCCGCATTCAGGAACAACAGTGACAAATCCTCTCAACGTGCTATGGTTATTTTTATGGGTGAGCAAAGGAAGGCAAAACAGAAGAACACTAAAGGCTCACTTATTTTCTTTGAATCTTCTAAGATCAAGAGAACAACCCTGTCCACAACTGTTGCAGAGTTGTATGCATTTATGAAGTGTTATGGCGCTTGCCAAATGCTTAGAGGCTTGATCAAGGACATTACAGGTGACTCTACTGACATTCACATGCGCACTGATGCTAACAATCTTGTGACTACAGCTAGTACTACTCATGTTCCTGAGCAACAGGAGACTATTCATATGATCCAAATGCTTAGGAAGGAAGCATGCTCTGGTGCAATTGCTGACTTGTCACATATACGCACTCAGTGGTGTCT